AGAGAGAGAGAGAAACACTTAAACAAAAAAATGCTCCATTTTAAAATTTTAAAGCAACTAATTAATGTTGACATTACCTTGTGAGTGGATTTCCGCTGAAATCAGCCACTTGGAGTGCTTTACAAAATGCGATGCTTTCTGGTATCTCTGGAATATCTGTAAAATATTTCACACATTTATTAGTGTCTCCATGTGACAAAATGCACATTTATAGTAGATTAAGGTGGGCTGTCTAATACATAAACTAAAAGAATAGGTTTTTCACATGATGCTTATAATACCAGGAACCATACTGTATCTCTGTATTTACTTATTTTTTCAGTGAAGAGAAGAAACATGGTGAGTATATTGTATAATGGGTTCACTGAAGTTTAATCCTACTTCCATGGTACATGGAGTCATATCTGGGAAAAATACACCTAAATACATGATGGCAGCAGGAATCATATGCTTCAGTGAGCTCTGATTTTACTGTTATTTTTTTACCTTCAACTTATCCTCAATTTATAAAGATAAAACAGAGCTAAGAAACTACCTTTGCACACAGGCCTTTTAGGAACAAACATCCCAGAAGGATGAGGGTGTCTACACCAATTAATACACGAGGAAAATTATTGGAGACAAAACGCTCATTTCAATACAATACAGTTTCCTTGGGAAAAAAAATAGGTATACCTCCACACACAGAAACTGCCATTTTGTTTGGATGACCTATAATCAGCAACAATTTTACTGCACAAAGCGTTCTGCAGTTCACGGCATTCAAATGGCTGTAATTATCTTGTGTTGCTTTTTTTTTTATTCACTTTTATTGAGTTTTCCAAACACAGGTTTTGGAATATAGTGCAAAGGGCAAATATCAGAAAGGTTACAGCCGTTACAACTGAATATATAGTGTACACCATAAAATATGCTGTATATGCCCCATTCTCGACTGTGCCAGGGACATTATGGATAAAGAAAATAGACAGACAATGCTAAAAATACCAAAATGGTTCCCAGAGGTTTTATATTGGGGGCGTTGCATGTTAGGAGTAATCGAGTACCCGACCAGGTTATGAGATGCCCACATCTCACATGCATACATAAGGAGGGCCAATTTAGACAGTAGCCAATTAACCAACCAGAATGTCTTTGGAGTGTTGGAGGAAACCCATGCAAGCATAGGGAGACCATGCAGTGACCTGGCTGGAATTCGAACCAGGGACCCCCAGTGCTGCAAGGCAGAAGCGCTAACCGCTCACCTGACATTGGTGATGGTGGCAATTCATTTGAATAAATCAACAATGTAAGAACACAGAAAGTGAGTAAGAAAGTGGGAAAGAAGGGAGTGGAGGCCAGGGAGACATTTTGCTCCCCCAGGGTTGATCTCCTATATTACCCTATGTTTCCCTGAATTGTATGTTATTCTTACATGTGCTTGAAAAAGCTTTGATTACAGCAGAAAGTAATCCTTCTTTGATATAACTCATACATTATTCAATATGGAGACTGACATTTAACACATTGGTTTCAAGGAACAATAATTTTCCAAAGCAGATGCTGTATAGGTTTAGAAAGGTCTGAAAAGTCAAACACTTGCTTGGATGATTTTTCAGGAGACAGCTTACTATGCGCCAAGACATGGGTACTCACTGAATGAATATTACAAGTGAAAACATGGCTTGAATATAAAATTGGTTTAGTTTCAGCCAGATGTTGGAGGGCATTTGCTGCACGACCAAAGGACAAATACTTAATATGAACACTGCTACAAAACAAGGATCAAAGCAAAACAAGTTAGGCTCAACATAATCCCCACTAACAAAAGACACAGGTTTTGTTCTCAAACTACTGCTCATTTTATAACTAACAACAAATTACACATGTAGTACAAAAGCCATCCCTATTTTCTTCTGCGCTGGTAAACCTGAGACCCCTGAAATGGTATGCTGGGCACAGGCATTTAAAAAGTCAAGTAAGGCAAGAAATAAACAAAGTAAGATCAGGTATCACGTCTACATCATAGACATTTTACATGTCACATGTTTAAAAGATATAATATTACATAGTTACATAGTATTTGGGGTTAAATAAAGACATACGTCCATCAAGTCCAACCCATATAGGTCCACGCATCATCTCATTCTTAGGGATACTGGTATCCCTGGATATTACGGTCCCTCAAGAAATTGTCCAAACGTTTCTTGAACAAATCTACACTCTTGGCTGAAATCACTGCCGATGGCAGTGAGTTCCAGACCTTAACTGCTCTTACTGTAAAGAACCCTCTTCGCCCATTGTGCTGGAATTTTTTCTCCACCAACTTTAGATGGTGGCCTCTAGTCTTTGTAATGGAGTTAATTTCAAACAGTTTGTTGCCAATGTTGCCGTCACCATTGAACATCTTGTACATGAAAATCATATCCCCCCTTAATCTCCTTAATTCCAGCGTATATGTTTAAGGTCAGAAGCCTTGTCTCATAGCTCTGGTCCTCCATTCCCCTAATTAGTTTTGTTGCCCTCCGCTGGACTCTCTCCAGTTCAAGGACATCCCTTCTCAGTACAGGCGACCAAAACTGGACCGCGTACTCCAGATGTGGCCGAACCAACGATCTATATAGAGGCACAATTATAGACTTGCCCCTGCAATACATCCCCTTCTTAATACAGGACAAGACCCTGCTAGCTTTGTTTACCGCAGCTTGGCACTGCAAGCTACCAGTTTGTGGTCTACAATGACCCCCAAATCTTTTTCTATTTCTGACTTCCCTAGCGGCATACCCATGATTGTATAGCCTGTTTTTTTATGTCCAAGGTACATTACTTTGCATTTATCGACATTAAAACTCATCTGCCATAGTATTGCCACTCCCCTAATATAATCTATACCCAATTGAAGAGGAACTGCAGATAGTGCCAAAATTAACCCTTGCAGTGGGGCTACCTGCACACTGTGAGGGTTAACCGCTCGTTTTGGTCTAAGGACTAGAATAACAAAGATATGCTCACCTGATCCTCTGTCCTGTGGCAGTGAGCACTCACCTATCTTACTCTACTTTCCAGCTGTGGTACGTCCCTCTGCGTCCTCATGTCTAATGCAGATTAATTAACCTGCATTAGACATGATGTCGTCAGTGAAGTTTAGATCACCGAAGCCGTGGGAAAAAGAGGTTGTGGGGACCGTTCTAGCAGGTAGGCGGGATCGAGGATTAGGTTAGTATAGATCTGTAAGCCAGCTCCTAGACCAAAATAGGCAGTTAACAATTGCAGTGCGGGAGTAGCCCCACTGCAAGCGTTCCGCTTTAAACCTCGTGTCTAAAAATGCTCTTTTACCTCTCCAAACATCCCCTGGCTGATTCTTTCTGGGGAGATTGATTGGCCAGGATAGGTTTTCCTATTCAATCACTTTTGTTTCCCCACCAAGATAAGACAGTGTAGGCTGATCAGTAGTTTTTGACATGGAGATCTCGGTGTAGTACTATTAGGTTAGGCACCGACATGGTAAGTACAGACTTTATGCGTTAAAGTGAATGTATAGTGGTTTTGTATGCATTTTCTTTTTAACCACATTGGGACTGGAGCAATTTGTTTCATTTCTCACACAAATTTTAAAATCTGAATTTATGGCTAGAAAAAAAACTTAATCTCACAAACAACTACCGTATATATTTTCTAAAAGCAGAGGTCCTGTAAAAAATGTTAAAAAATGGCAGTTGCATTTTTCTTTATGTTGCAAATGTTGATCAAATTAATTTTTAGGAAAATGTACACTAAAATTAATTTTAGCACACACAAGCACAATATGATATCCAAATGGTAAATGATGGGGTTGCGTTGAGTAAACAGATACCAAAAATGTCAAGCCTTAAAATTGCGAGCACCTGTGTTATGATACAAATCTACAGATCCCAAATTTGTTCAAAGGCAACACTTTGAAAGCCATTGCCACTCATCAAGCCAGCAAATGGTGACCCTAGAATTATTTGCTCTCACTTCGTTTTGCAGCGATAATGAACACGTGTGGCGCAATCACTGCTTACATACAAAAGTGCACCCTATGTGGGTGTTTGTTTTTGTATGTGGGGTGCAGCCCAGTACAACTGCCTGGAGTGTCGGGAGTCAGCTGAAGAAACCACTGCTGCTGGAGTCGTGATCTTGGGATAGCTCCAGGACGTTCAGGATGAGGGGTGCATCGTGATGTGAAAGCCCATCTCCAACCAGAGAACACCATAAATTGCTAAAAAATACTAGGTGTTCTCTGAATGGCTGCTGTGCCAAGTGAGCGGTACTCTGTATTCTCACATTAAAGGGGAAGTCACTCACCTCATTGAAATACAGATTGCTGTAAAAGAATTGTAGTGGCTCCAGATACTATAGTATTTTACAGGATCCCCATGGCCTTGCCAGGTATAAAATATGTTTAAATACTTTAGGTCAAGCTGGGCCATTGTAAGAATACCTAAAAATTAGGGTTGCACAGATACCAAGTACAGTACTCGGTACAAGTACGAGTACATGTACCGATACTTTTGAGCTCCAAGACTACACTAGAGAAAAATTCAAAAATTAGGAGGCAGCTGTCATTTGTAAGGAGCACACGGAGCTCCTGGGATTTGTACATCTCTGTTTTAATGTACGATTTTGTTTTTATAAATATAAATAAAGGGATGCACAGATACCAGTTTTGCGAGTACGAGTACTGGTACTTGCCGAGTACTTACAAGTACGAGTACTGATACATTTTTGTTTATTGTCATGTGACAGTTTTTCTAAAACAATACAGACTAATGATTTCAGGACAGTGGTGGAGTGCCAGAGCCAGGTCCCAGCTGCAACCTCTGCAATCCTGGTAGTTCTCATGAAAATGCCAAGTATCTGCACTGGTACTCAAAAAGTATCTGTGCATCACTACTAAAAATGTATTCCATGGAGTTCAGCTGTGGTTAAATTATTAAGAAAAATCCATTAAAATATGAAATACTGCATTCAAATTCCTTAGAATTTTAACCAGGCAGGAGGTGGAGCTCTAGACTTCTTTTTATATGTGAAGCAGAATCACTGTCAGCTGTGCTGAAAGAAACCTATTTGCCCAATAAGTCATCTTTTTTCAGACAGCTTAGTATGAGGTTTTAAAGCCAAACCTTGTAGTATGGCGTCTCCTGCACACAATGCCGAGCTTCCGTGCACTGAGGGGTGAGTGTGGATGCGACTCAAGCAGTGAAGTGCTCTGATTGCACCCGCCCCTTCTCAATACTTGTCCATTCAAGAAATACCCTGTATTTTTTTTCAAAGAACATAAGACATTCCGTGATTGGAGAAGGAGAGAGGATGTCACATCAACATTCTGCGATTGTCCTCCTCCAATCACAGAATATCTTTTTAACTTGGACATTGCACCATGTAACCGTTAAAAGGAAAAATCAATTTTGGCCGAAGTTTTACTTTAATGTCAGCGTTGGCTGATATATATCTTCAAAGTCTTTAACTGTATGCTTTAGCTTACCTGCTCCACTAAAGGCCATACTGATAAGGCACAATTCAATAAACAGTTTTGAACTTCCCCACATAGTTATTGTAAAAAAAAGAGACCTTTACATTGAATAGAACATTTCAAAAATCCCCAAAAAATGATAAATAATTTGAGACTTACCATTCCGTGATACGTCTAGTTCTACCAGCTGCATGAAATTTGCTATTTCTGGAGGAAGTCGTTGAATTTCATTGTCACTAAGGCCGAGTTTTCTTAACTTCACAAGCTGAAAAAATTGCTGGAAAACAATAGAATTTCTTACTTTAACATTCATGCAGCGATACACAATACCTGAGAACTACGCATTTTCATTACATTCTTATAAGAATATGTTTGTTTTTTTAAAGACAGTTATAAGGAAAAAGTGCTTTAAGCAATTATAGTTATCAATGTCTAATGGTAAAACCTATCTTACCGCACAGCTAATAGATCAGCATCACCCATGCCATTTATCTGCATTACTGTTAATAGAATTAAGCTGGTCACCAATGTCACAATCTTGGGAGGCAACTGAGTTGTGCAGCTGCTGGTAAATCTAAAAAAAAATTGTACAGAAGGTACGTGTGGCTGGATTAAGGGCTTGTTCACATCAAATGCAGACCAGATCTGCATGAGTTTCTGCACAAGCAGTGCAGTGCGTTATACTGTGGTTTTTGCCACGTTTTCGATGCGTTCCGGGACGTTTTTTAGTTTAGAATGGGCTTTCAGTGCGTTCCATGGCATTTGCATGCGTTCAAGAGCAGGAAAAATTGGGCTTGCTGCAGTTTTTTTTACATGCTCTGTAACTGAAGGCATGTGTGAACTAGAGCCCAAAATACCACTGAAATATATTGGACGCAGTGTGAACAAGCCCTAAGCTTATGTTCAGGTCCTGATATGATCTCTCTAGGAGCCTCAACTCTGTATTGTAACACGTGTCTGAACTCTGCCTGACTTTTGTATCCCATCTAAGCACCTGCCGCAACACAAGAAACTCCTGTTTTAAACTCCTATTCTGCTGGCACTACTGACAGAGCTGTACTGCGGCTCTACTCATTTCCTTTAAACCCTGCCAATATATAAGGTTTTATTTTAAAGTGACACTAGAGAACTAGATATGTTTTAACCAGTATGTAGGAGTACAGCCCTGCACCTGCTGATCACAATACACATTAGTGACATGGGGTTGGCAAGAGGCACCAAAGCGGTCAGTGGGTGACGAGCTATATGACACGCACTAAGGATCATATAGCAGTTTTGCAATTTGGAGCTCTATAAGAGAGTGAATATCTCCCTCAGTGCCTGCCAGCCAGGCAAGTATGCAGCCTATTCACTTACAGGGTATCTGATTTCTTGTAGGCTTGTTACAGGGTCGCTTTAAAAACACTACATAGAGCTGCGGGCTAAAGCTACCCAGAACAGTAAATTAAATCTCCTGAGATTAAGCCGAGAACATATTTCTAGTTATCTGACAAGGCTTAGTCATACCGCTGCTCGCTGTGATTTTGTATATTGTAGGAACAACTCTTAACCTTGAAAGAAGAACGCAGTCTAAAAATTGTACTGACTAGTCTTTCCACACATGGCAAGCACTAATAACATTGAGGAGGAGGTGAGTGGCATTTTTTAAAATAACAGCAATCTATTGTGTGAGCAATTTGTACAATTTGTAAAGGCCTAGATTACTTTTTTTTTTTTGCATTTGTGTAGGAGAGGAAAAGGATACATAGGATAGAGCCAACGTTAATTAGAGATTTACATGTTTGTGCTTCAAAGGTTGTTCACTTTATTACCCACACTTAAACCTTTAACGTACACTAATACATACATTGAATATTTATCTCCATCCCCTTTTTTATGTTCAGGATTAAACAAATACTGTTTAAAATTATTTTTAAAGTTATGTCAAGGCAAAAAAATATATACAGAGAGAGAGAGAGAGGGGGAGAGAGAGAGGGAAAGAGAGAACACTTATAAAAAACACACACATTTCCACTACTTGTCTTTTTGCTAAACTACCCAAACTCTACCACTCTTATCTCTACATCATAGACGCAAATTATTCAGCATTTCCGACACCATCAACAAGTTGTTTTTTGTTAACTTATCAGATATGACATTTTTGCAATGGCACATTTTTATTTTTAGAATGCAGCTTTCTGGTTGTATTGCTGATGCTTTGGCTTCAATAATACTTTTTAAGACACTGATTCTGAACAAGCAGAAATACAAGTGTAACCACCTTGCCCTAAGTGGATAGTACTGGTCCCCCCTAAGTCTAATGTTACTGTTTGCTTCTGCCTGCTCCAGGGGTGTGACCCGGTATTAGAGCAAGAAGATACAATAATGCTGGGTTATAAATATTTGTGTCTTCCTGGCCAACCACTAGGAGGTTTTATAGCAGTGGCACAAGCTGTAGAAGGACATAAATATTACTGCTGCTCTAAACTCCAAGACAAAGGAAAACAATGGATGATCTGTTCAGTAGTATCCACTCACAGACAACCAGTATCCAAGCACAGCTTGAGTTTTAGGGACTGACCCTTTAGTATGTCAGAACATATGTATGCAGTGGAACCTAGGGCATGGTTTGACTGTGTACAACACTGTAATGGATGAATATCTGCAAGAGTCATTTCTGCAGTTTTAAACCATCCCTCAAGACACAGCTTTTGTATGAAGAAGAGTTCTGGAGGAACTCTTCTTCATTCTGGAGGAGTTCTGGAGGAACAGAGAGGGGATACCTGTGGGAATTGATGACTGTCACTGTTCTTTACAGGGAAGAGACCTGAACTGACCGTTGAGCAGTCACATGAGCCCCCGGTATGGAGCTGGCATGTGATAGCTGCAATGCCCCACAGCTGGCTCTATGTATTGGGAAGAGTATATTTTACTCTACCAATACTTCTCCTTTAAAGTGACATTAAAGCCAAAAAAAATTCCCCTCCCCCCCATGAAAATGTTAGCCCTTACCTCAAATGATGTCTCTTATTCTGATCTTCCTCTTCTTTCCCCATGTTTTCATGTGTCCCTCCAGCGGTGTGACGTCACTCCGATCCAGCGCTGACTGCTCTGTCTCTCCGATCCAGCGGTGTCTGCAGGCGGGTGCACGCGTCCATAGACTTACCTTGCGTCTCTGCTCGTCTCCCGGCCAAGAATAGGAACTGCGCATGCGCACGCCCCAAAATGCTTTGAGGCCGTACGATCACTTCCTGATTCTCGGCGCGGGATCGAGCAGCGATAACGAGGTAAGTTTAAAACCAGTTCAAGCGGTTTTTTTTTTAAACTTCTTGCCTATATCTACTGCTTACTAGCAGTAGATAGAGGCAAAAAAAACGGAGGGTTTAGAACCCCTTTAAGTGAATACAGGGGAGGGGAAACACAACCACAAAGGTTAAGTTTGCAAAACAGGTGCATCATGTCTATTTTGCAAATAAAACCCTTCAGGTGCAAAGGTGTACTTGCAGTATATAGTAAATGTTTTACCAGATGCACGATCTTCTTTTTGCCATGATACATTAGCTCTTAATGAGCAGTAGAAAATAATTCACTCCATCCCCACAGGCCCAGGAATATACTTTGTATGCTGTGTGCTGGTTCTCTTCCTACCTCACTGGATACATAATACACCACAGGTTCACTCTCCAGCCTAAATAAATGTTACATTCTGGGTGACTGCGTACACTGCATTCTAAGTAAGAAAGTGCAATATTGTCGTACACAGCCAATAAAATAAATTCTCTGCTTTTAGTAAGTTTAAACCATTTGTCACTTAGAGAGGACTTTGTGCATTTCTTTTCCACATCAACAGATTTTATTTTATTTTTTACTTTGCAGGCAGAAATTGGGATGATCATGCATAGGAATGTTTACGTAATACTGAATTTACATAGCTTGGGTGTTGTGTAATGCAGGGAATATCTGGAGAGCAAACAGGTACCAGTTTCAAGTATAAACACATACAGCTTGTCAGGCGACCTAGGATATATGAAATCCTCACAGGGAAATTATATATCTTGGGTGGTTCGGTGCAAGCTTTTTCAGAACATTGCGCACACTTCCCTATCCACTTACTGAAAGACTGATTTTGTATATTTAGAATAAAACCTAATTACTAGAACTAATGAGAACCCTTTCAGTGCAATTCTACGCATGAGAAATGTATGCCAGTGTAATGTGTGTTAAAGCCCTTCTCCATCCAAATTTTAGTTTTAAATAACTGAAGCTGGCCATACACTAGTAGATTTCCAAATTAACTTTCGTATTATGGGGGCAAAATCAATGATTGATTTCAACCATAGGTGACGAAAAAACTCGAAGGAGCAGGATGGAAAATGTTTATCGCATGAACAAAATTCTGACAGTAACCGCGGTTTCCAGTCAGGAAACTGCAGCCATTACAAAATCAAACGTTAAAATCAAATGTAGTTTTGTTCGACAATCAAGCGTCTGATGGCATTATCAAGTGGTAAAGAAAGATCTTTTGTTTGTAAATAAAAAGCTAAAATCACTCTCCAAGATTTCACCCAAAAAAATGGGCTGAAAATCTCGGCTTATACTCGAGTATATACGGTATATAAATATACAAGAACCCCAAGCTAAAAACAAATAATTTTATGTGAAAATTCACTTATGTAACAAAAAATACGAAGATTGTAACAGAGGTTTCTGATTAGCTACAGGGAGTGATGCTTCTATACCAAGTTACCTTAGGGCTCCATGGGTGATTTGAATTCTTTGCTACTCCAAATAATGAATGTGCTGCTAATTAAATGATTGCTAGTGGTTAAATCTCTTAATACAGACAATAAAATTGTTAACTAATCCTAGCCTGACTTGTTATAATGAAACATATGCATTGGATTGGGGTTTAATTGAATGAAGCAAATCTCCTAGAACGTTCTGTCTTACATCACTATAAGCTGCCTTTTTGCAGAGCTGCCAACACAGAAATAAAGTTTCTCCTGTGAAACCAAACAGCAGTAAGGGATTGAGAACAGGGGTAGGCAACCTTGGCACTCAAGATGTGGGGAAACCAATAATCCCACCATGCCCCTGTCTCCAGGAGTAATGCCTGTGGCAGAGTCTTCCAATGTCTCATGTAATTTGTAGTTGCACAACAGCTGGAGCGCTAAGGTTGCCTACTCCTGCCTAAAATAAATCAATGGGGTTACATCCACGTGGCAAATCGCTATAAAAAAAAATAAAAGGTGCAAGTACCTTTTTTTTGCAACACACGGCGTGTGGCTTTTTATCATG